TGCTGAGGGGGGGGGGGGTGCTGAAGATCAATGGATTCCCGGGAAATTGCGGGAGAAGATGAATTTCCCGGGAAAATGGAGGCTCCTTAGAGGGGGGAAAAAGAAAGGGAGAGGAATTGAAACTCGAAAAAGCTTTCCCCTCTCGATCTCTTTTTCTCTCAGAACGAAACTGAACGGGCTAGGGAAATTTCGTTTTACAGAATTTTCATCTTAGAAATTTTATGGACGAGCTGTGATTCGGCCATGGCGTCCAGCCATGTCCACGTTTCTCCCTGACGCCGTACATGTTTCCGAATCTTGCGGAGTTGCTGAGTTGAGGGGTCAAAAATTGATTTTTTAATTTTTTGGAGACATGCAACAAATGGAAATAGGGAACATGAGTACGTATATTGTACAGTAGATTGTATAGAGATTATGAAAATATGACAAAGTGTTCATTTGTTTCATGAGTTAGGGAAATAGGGAACATGAGTACGTATATTGTTTGAGTACTAATTCTGAAACAACGTAGTGTTCATTTTCATTCATTTATTCATTACAATTATACAGCAAATTTATGAATACTATAATGTTCATTCTAAATAATTTAGTGTCCGTACTCAAACAAAGGATAGTTCATTCTCAAGCTACTTACCTTTCGTAACCATCCAAATAAATGGATGAAGCGTATGGAATATGCAGCCCTCCTTTGTCTTCTAATGTCGCTGGACCTAGGGTTTCACATCTCCTTCGCATGAATAGCGCCTGAATCGTCGCTCCCGTCCGCACCTAGGTTGCCGCTCTTCCGCGCAACCTTGCGGCAATCCAGCTCTTCCGCCGTGCCACACCTAGGATCTTTCTCTTCGCCGGGATTGCTCCTCTTCGCCTGTGTTTTTTGCCGTTTTGTTTTAAGGCCGGTTGTACCCAACTTTGGGTACATCCGTTGTATAACACGAAGTATAAATTGCGATGGAATAGTGACAAAAACAACACAAATTTATCATTTGTAAATTTTAATTTTAATTTTAAATTAGTTGAGATTATTATGATTTTTTAATAAGATTCGCAAATAAAAAGTTTATAAAGTTTGTTTCATTTTTATTTATTGTCAACACACAAAAAATACAATGTCGACCTTGATTGCTAATATGGGTGTGTTTCTAATATTTCTGTGTAGATTAATTTTAATCTCAGCTACACCATAATTAATTAATTATTCTCTCTCCGTACTAAAATTCACATGTTTAAAATAAAATATTCTTGTTATGTCTTATTTTATAAAACTTTTGGTGTAACTTTAAACTGTGTAATTTGTTTTTTTTATTTTAATACCAATTTGTAAATAATTCAAGAATGCGGCGGTAGGAGATAAACTCAATAAAATGGTAGGAAAAGGATCACATAGATAGATGGGGGCATTAATGTCATCTACCATGGTAAAACTTGTCATTAAACTTTTATTTAACTTTTAAATGTTGATAAGATAGTTTTAGAACAAGCCAAAAAAACAAAGTGTAATTTCTAAATAAGAAAAACTTAGAGGTACCTCAAGTTAGCGTATTCCAAGTATACACCAACTTCTTATCTACACACACAGATACTCTTTATCTGTGTGAAGGATGTCTGTAAGAAACTGATGTACCCCTAAGATACACGAACTTAGAGTACCCTAGTCCCCTGGTAAACCCCTTCTGACCAAGACTCTATTATACCCTGCCTCACATGTTTTAAAAATTTTCCTTTAGAGAGATTACAAAAAGTGTTTAAGAGTAAGTAAAAAAAAGTTATCATATCTCTATTTAAAACAGAGAAATATTGTAATTCAAATACTTTTTTCAAAAGAAAAAGAAAAAAAGAAAACTAGTTTCATCTCGGTGTATTTGTCTAATTTAACTTTTTTGAGTCAAACAAGATAAACTTTAAACTTCAATTAAACAAAAAATGAAATGAATATTAGTATAAAAATGATTATATTAGATAAATCTTGTTGAGAACTGCCAAAATTTAATTTCATTGTACTATAGAGTACGTAGTAATATGCAATACAAATTAAGAGCCATTGAAATTCAAAGTTTGTCAAGTTTGATTCAAAAAAGTCAAACTGAACAAATATAATGAGAGAGGATAGTATTATCTTGAAAGAAAAACATTACCGAGTAAAATAATTAGAGAAAAGCCATATGGCTCTTCCCTGCTCCAATGCAGTTTCCTAAACAAAGTAGATATAAGATGAAGATACTGAAAATAGAGATTATCCAAAGAAACGAGACGGGGCAAAATCGTCGTATTGAGAATGCCCCGACATTCAAGTTCAAGACGAGACAGCATTCAGAGAATCACACAATCATAATCAAGCAACAACATCATATTCATTTTCGCTCCCGGATTGAAGCTCGAGTTCTAAAAATTAGCAGAGTGTTTATGGTAGTAAATCCCACCCCATCTTGAAAGGGGAAAAGCACATTATATATGTATAGACATACAACACACAAGCATAGTATCCCAAGGGGGACCAAGGGGAAACTTCCCATTCATTCGAGTCCCCTTACGAGTGCTTATTTTCACCTCTTTGTAGAAAAGAAAGAGAAGAATCCGAACCGGGTAGGCAGCAGCTCTTGAGGAGAAACTTCAAATTGAGATCCCCATCGACTTCTTCATCTTCTCAACTTCCAAATACACAGTCGAGTATGGTAGGAACTCTGAGAAATAGCTATGGCTCAGATCATTTATTGCAACAGCAAGCTTGGGAATCTCCAGGGTCTCCTCGTGGGTCAGGGTACGGACAAACCTTGCCGGATTCCCAGCCCAAAGCTCACCCGTTGGGATTCTTCTTCCTGGTGGGACCACAGATCCTGCTTCAAGGATTGAATGGGTCTCGACCAAAGAACCTTCCATGAGTATGGAGTGTTGACCGATGATGCACTCTGGCTCAATGGTGCAGGATCTCAGAAGACTGTATGCACCAATCGTCACGTACCTTTCAATAGATGTTTCTGCCGGAAGCCCTGGGAAATTCAAGACGATATATTCATTGTTCAATGTATACCCCTTAATTTAAAGCGTCAAAGTATATTAGTAAATAAGCACAATATTAAGTGCATGTTTGATAGACACTTTTTTCCCCTGTTTGTTTAGCTTTATAACAATGTGCTGGTTGAAATGTTGAATTGGAGGATAAAATAATAAAGCGATTCATTAGATACTTCTTTAAAAAAAGATTTGAAATCCATTTGAAAATCATTCAGCAATTTTAACTGTAGTTCCGGAAAGTGCAAATTATTGGGAAATTTCAATCATTTCAACCAAATTTACTGTTACCAAACAACTTCTGAAGTTCAAACTTTCACATATCCTTGCTGTAAACTATATCTTTCCTAGCCTTACCACACGATGATCGTAACATATATAAGCATCCTACACAATCATCTTCTGTATTAACTCTTTCTTCATTGCCCATCACATTCAGATCAATATAACAAAAAGATATTCCCTGATGAATAGAAGAACCTCACAAATTTAAGTCAGTTTGGATGATGGATTTTGGAAGGGGGTTTGGGAGGGCTAAATTTATACCGTGATTAAAAAAATTATCTTTCATAAAACTTGACAGAATAAAGTAATATGTGACCATATAAATTCTCAATCACACATTATACATTTTCTCAAGAATGTACTTATCATGATAGGAACTAAACACCCTATAATTTTTCCATAAAAAACTCTTGAAACCATCCATCCAAACTGGCCCTTTAGGTACAAACCTACAAATAGGTACTATCCACTTGAGCCTAGATCACAAATAGGTTCATGCTTTTCTGAAACAGCAATACCATTGGAGGTTCCTAAACACGCCATTGACGTGTAACATTTTTATTTCTCCTAGATCACGCTTCTCTGTACAAAATAAAATCATCTAAACACTATCAAATTGTCACCGTCATAGGCACATAGACCTTGGAAGGATGCAGCTTCAAGATTCCCAAAACACCCCATTGATGGGTGAAAAACTATTTAGCATGCATGTAAATCATATGAAAAGTATGTCATTTGCATTTTGCAGTGGTTTTCCTTTCAAAGCTGAAATCAAAGGCATGTTCCTTCTGAGCTCTGACATATACAGAGTGAATGCAACAATAGCATATGTTGGCTTAAAATTCAATCTAGGGTGGAATTCGTGGAAATTTAGCTGTCAGTGGGATGCAAATAAGTAATGGATTGATATCATGATAGACATAAAGAGAGATAAAGAAGAAGAATGAAATGGAGGAAAACATTGAAAGAGTTAAATCCAGTGTATGCTTCCAATAACATATGGCAAAGAAGCCTCATAAGTTGAAAATCAAGGTCTACCTGCTTGAGCCATTGATAACAAAACCACACTCCCCCCCCCCCCACACACACACACAATAAACAAAAGAAAAGAGNGAAATGGAGGAAAACATTGAAAGAGTTAAATCCAGTGTATGCTTCCAATAACATATGGCAAAGAAGCCTCATAAGTTGAAAATCAAGGTCTACCTGCTTGAGCCATTGATAACAAAACCACACTCCCCCCCCCCCCACACACACACACAATAAACAAAAGAAAAGAGGAACCATTATTTTAATCCCTCAATTATTCTTGATTGGCAATTTAGTCCCTCATTGACTCATTGTGAACTTGGAGACTTGGGGAATTTCATTGCTCAATTAGCTCAATTATTTAAAGAGGTGACAATTGACTCTTTCACACCGTCATAATAGAGTAATTTAACTTGGCCATTTTTCGCAATCTCATCAGAGCATGTGCATCTTTTTCTTTCATCTTTTCAATAATGGTGCATTATGGTGTGCGAGACTGGATTGATTAAGTGAATTGATGAACTCGATTGCACCAAATTGACAATGAGAAACTACATTGTAGAATCAGGAGCAATTGAGGGACCAAATGACAAAATTTTTCATGAAATTCCTAGCTAGTTTCATATTAATGTTTCTTTGTTTCAAGTGTTTACTCACAAGACTCCTGCAGTAAATAACAAAAAATAAAACCCTGGCTTTCATAATTTTGCAATGCTTCTTATTCATATTCTACTAGCAGTCCAATTTCTCCAAGTTCTCCATCAAAATCAAGCTCCAATGACTACATAAATGTATCAATTTTACATGCCCTAGAAGGTGGCACACCACAAGACTATGCTTAATACGTGAAAAACACTTTTTTCAAGAATGAGACGTGCCTAGGCGACATGATGAAACTAGACTAAATGACTTCCCACATCAAGAGTCTTAAAAAAGGTTGGACAAAGCTTCTGTCAAACTAATACCCTAATTCAGAAATTGCTTGGTCACAGTTAAAAGATTTTGGATATAGCTCCTGCTGTGGTTGAAATTCTAGCATCCAAAATGAACATTAAATTTCCCAGCCTAGACATTAGAGCAGGTTACAGTCGACACAGATCAATGTACAAGCAACTTGTAAGCATATATTATGAATAAAATGAAAATGTAATCCACGGACCCGTAGGGGACGACCAAGCGGCATGAATGACACATCTCTCCTGGACATTAGAGCAGAAGCCAACGGTGATCTTGTTGAGATCCCCACGGAGAACGGCGCCGTTCCAGACAGAGGCACCGTCCCAGACGGTGACCTGACCCGCGAGTACGACATTTGGGGCGACATAGGCGTCGACAGCCACCTTAGGAGCCCACTGCCCTAGAGGGATTGTCTTTCTCTGCCCTCTGTAGTCCCACTTGACCCGATCCAGCGACGAGTCCTTGATTGCCGCATGCGCCTCCGTAGCCAGCGTGCGGCGGAGCTGATGGTGGCCGTGCCGCAGGTGAGCGGAGAAGGCGGTTGCTAGGGCTCTTCTGGATGACCGAGCCAGTGCCGCCATTCCCGTTTTCAGCTGATTTTTCAGTCTCTTTGCCGCCGAGGGTTAGCTTGGAGGAGGAAGATGAAAATGAAGCCCCAAATTGTTGCTCGAGCTTAGAAGCCTTGAAGTTCCAAGCACTAGGTAGTGCGTTTAGTGGTACATAAATTTTGATTTTTACAAATCAAATTCAACAAATTTTAGAATTCCTTAATTAATTACAATAAATTTGGATTACATATTAATATAATGACATAAAAATTTGAAGTTTCGCAGTAAAAAATGTAGTACTCCCTCCCTCCCGGAGTATTCGTCCAGTTTTGACTTTTGAAACTATTCATTTAAGCACTTTGATTCATCAAATTCTCTTAATGTGTAAGCTTAAATATAGTCATGTGTGATCTTGTTTGATTTTTCTTAACATATAGATTATTAATATATAATTTCTATAATTTTTTAATATACAAATTACAAGATAAAATGAATTAAAGAAGTGTATTGGATGATGTGTAAAAATGAAAGTGGACAAATACTATCAAAATCTACAAGAATTTAAGATTATGTTAAGTGCAAGTACATTTTAGGGTGGAGTGCAAGGGGTGGAATAAGAGCATATGCAGTGGCGAGTAATTCATGTACCTCACTCTGCCACATCATCCACTTACATGATTCCCATGGAGAGGAATGAGCATTCCACCCCGCCGAGCGAGGCATGTGAGAGGCATTCATGTTCTTTTTTTGTTTGTTGAAGAAATAGGGTAGGCGTAGGCGTGTAGCATATGGATAAGAAGGAAACGGATGGATTGCTTTTCTTTTAAACAAAAATGTTTTTACTCCGTATTTTTTGTAAGGCATTTAAATAAATTAGACAACATATTTTTAAATTTTTTTAATAAGGAAAATTAAATTTTTTTTATTTTTTAAATCTTTTTAAATATGGAAAAACAATACTCCTATTTATAAATAAATGTAAATAGAAGTGTTTTTATAATCAAATAAATAATTAAAATCATTTTTATTAATTAAAATACATTAAAGTGTAAAAAAATAATAAAAAGAGTGACTTGCTATTGCAAGGCATGCCACTCCACTCATTTGCCACACGATGACTGGATTGATTTTCATTGGCTAAAATACTCCACATCATTGTGTGACATTTCATTTCTTACTTGCCATTCCTCGTGCTTTTAAGAGGTTGAGTGCAACTATGCAAGTTAGAATGACTCGTGTAGGCATCAATGATGGCTCGTGATGGCCGATGTGGCGGGCACGCTGCATGCGATGGGGGAGAACATTTTTTGATGTCCCTTTTTTTCTTTTTTTTCTTTTTTGAAATATCATCCATCCATGTCCTTTCAATTGCAAATGGATGAGATAAAATTTCCATTAAAAATTGGAAGTTAAGGGTAGATCAAAAAATGTATTTTAAGTCGTACCTAAAAAATGTTAATACATTTTTTTGAGGTACAAAATAAGATATAATTTTTGGGATACAAATAAATTAATTTAAAAAGGAAAATACTAGAGTTACAAACAAATAGTTCACAAACTTCACAAACTTTCTTTTTGTAAATTTTTAACTAAAATATCTTATACTCCGTATTATTTAAGTGCACCTTATTTCTAAGAAAATATTAAAAAAATAAGTTTGCAATTGATGGATACCCATGAATGGGGGTATCCGACCCAACGGGAAAGCGGCCCACCCCACCCATATGAAGGCCTAGTTAGCTGGACAAAGCAGGAGTAATCTGAAGACCTGGGAAGGCCACCTCTGTAGCGGATCACGCTCAGCCTCGGTAGGGTCCAGGTCGTCCTCAGACCACCGTCGACCGGCCTTCCACCAAGGGACTCCTGGGAGCAGATCATACGCGCTCGGCCTCGGCCCGGGGCGCCAGCAGACAGGTCCAGGCATGGGAGCTGTCTAAATAGTCAAGATCAAGGGGCCCACGATTGGACCCTTGTCATACCTCTGACAGAATTGTTCTAGCCACCCTATTTGTAACCTATTTTGTATAGCAACCCTAGGGATAATGATGTGATTAGGCGCCGCCAATGAACAACCCAATCTTAGTGGGCACAGACCGTTGGACTCCGGACTAACGGTCAGGAACCCTCTGTTGTAATTCACATATAAAACCCTTTCCAAAGAGAGGGGGAGTTACGTTCTGACTTACGATCTATCTAACACAATAATACTTACTTGATTTCCAACTTGTGCACTCTTGACTTAGTTCGATACTCTTCCGCCTAGTCTCCTAAGCCCCCGAGTTCCTTAATCTAATAATAATTTTTTTAAACCAGTTATTTGTGACTTTAGTATTACTAATTTAAAAAAGTTATGGTCAAGTTGGTTAATGACAAACGAGAGTAATTATTGGAGTAATCGAGATAAGATCAAGTCCTGCTTGACTCATAGACTTTGAGTCACTTCGTTACTTCCCAGTTCAGCTTGCCATGGCCAAAGAGACTTCCTCCTCCGCTAACCACCGCTCCTCGCCGGAGAACGGCGACTTCAAGTTGGTGGGGTTCAACAATTTCGTCCGCGCTAACCCCAAGTCCGACCATTTTCCCGTCAAACGCTTCCACCACGTGGAGTTCTGGTGCGGCGACGCCACTAACACCGCCCGCCGATTCTCCTGGGGCTTGGGGATGCCTATTGCCGCTAAATCCGACCTCTCCACCGGCAACTCCGTCCACGCTTCCTACCTCCTCCGCTCCCCCTCCGGCGAGCTCCAGTTCCTCTTCACCGCTCCCTACGCGTCTTCCATCTCCGTCCCGTCCTCCGCCGCCATCCCCGGCTTCTCCCCGTCAGCCCACCGCTCTTTCACCGCCGCGCACGGCCTCGCCGTCCGCGCCGTCGCCCTAGTAGTCGACGACGCCCGCGCAGCTTTCGCGGCCAGCACCTCCCGCGGCGCGAAACCCGTGCTGGAACCCGCGACGATCGGCGACCAGGTCCACATCGCCGAGGTCCACCTCTACGGCGACGTCGTGCTCCGATTCATCAGCCATCTCGGCAATCCCGCCGCCCACACGTTCCTCCCCGGGTTCGAACCCGCGGACGAAACGTCGTCGTTCCCAGATCTAGACTACGGAATCCGCAGACTCGACCACGCCGTGGGGAACGTCCCCCGGCTGGGCCCCGCCGTGGAATACATCAAATCCATCACCGGATTCCACGAATTCGCGGAGTTCACGGCGGAGGACGTGGGGACGGCGGAGAGCGGGCTGAACTCGGTGGTGCTAGCGAACAACGAGGAGACGGTTCTGATGCCTCTGAACGAACCGGTTTTCGGGACGAAGAGGAAGAGCCAGATCCAGACATACCTGGAGCACAACGAGGGCCCAGGGGTGCAGCATCTGGCCCTTGCGACAGAGGACATATTCAGAACCCTGAGAGAGATGAGGAAGAGGACCGGAATAGGGGGTTTCGAGTTCATGCCGTCTCCCCCTCCAACTTATTACAGGAATTTGAAGAGCAGGGCCGGTGAGATTCTCAGGGATGAACAGATCAAGGAGTGTGAAGAACTTGGGATTCTAGTGGATAGAGATGATCAGGGCACCCTTCTTCAAATCTTCACCAAGCCTGTTGGAGATAGGTATTTCTTATACATCACCCATTGATTCCTTCTTCATTGATTCCCAAGATTAGTTTTTTCTTTTCTTTCCAGAATTAGCTGATTAGAGAACAAAGTCTCAGAATCATTCACCAGAATCTTCTGCTTTTCAAAATCTAAAAAAAATGCAAGTAAAACTAGTTCTTGGATGGGAGCTATGTGGCTTTGATTCTTTATTTGGGTGATTTTGTTTCCAGAATAAGCAGTGTTCATTCTGGTGAATCAAATGTACTGATAATTCCTGGCATATTCCAAAACCAGAATGGATTTCTTTACAAAGAGCTGTTCTCTTTCTATATATATATATATATATATATATATATATATATATATATATATACATACATACCACATTAGTATTTACTGAAGGGGATGATCATTATTTAATTTAATCCTGAATGGTTTGGTTTGTGGGTGTGGGTTGCAGGCCGACAATGTTTATAGAGATAATCCAGAGAATAGGGTGCATGGAAGAAGAGAAGGAAGGGAAGATGCAGCAGAAGGGTGGGTGTGGAGGGTTTGGTAAGGGCAACTTCTCTCAGCTCTTCAAATCCATTGAAGAATATGAGAAGATGCTTGAAGCCAAACAAGCCCTTGCTGGCTAAGGGCTTGTACTCATCTGTCTGATTTGATTGAGTTCTGATCTAATGTGATGTCATGTGATTGTAGTTATATTTAAACTTAATAAGAATACGGAGTAAGTAAAAAGAATAAGTTGAATAGAACAAGTTCTAAGCGTGACGGTCTCTCTCTTTTTCGAGCCAAACTCATTTGTTGTACACTACACCGTTTATTTGTACTCCTTCCACTGACAATATGACTCTTGTGATATGGAGATTCATTAAGTTTTTTTTTTTTTTTATGCAAAAGTCATAATAGTCATGTGAATGGTGAGAGTACTGCACATGTATATTTTTTCTCAAAATAAATAAATTTGACTGAGGTAGAATTGTGCTTTTTCTGCATTTCAGTAAAAAAATAAATGACAATTTTGTTGTCGGATTGAAATATTCAATTAAGTGTGTTTTTTGTTTGTGTGTTGAATTTTGATCAATAATATTTAAAATATGCAATGAATTAAAAATAAAAAATCTATATTGAAAATTTCTTTTACGCTATAGTTTTTTACTCCTTCCGTCCCATTGTATTTGTCCAGTTTGATTTTTTTGAGTCAAATTGGACAAACTTTAAGCTTCAATTAAATAAAGACTGTAATGTATTTTAACATAAAAATGACTTTATAAGATTTAACGTATTGAGAACTTTTAAATTTGTATTTTATTATGCTAATATGCAATATAAATTGAGAGTACTTGAAGTCCAAAGTTTGTCCAGTTTGACTCAAAAAATTCAAACTAGACAAATACACTGAGACGAAGGGAGTATTATTTTTTTGTATACTCCGACAATTTAAAGATAAATTACTCCGTAATAGTTAAAAATTCAACATGGAAAGTGAAATGAACAGTTAATGCAGAGTAGGAGTCTCTATTTCAAGGCTTGTAGAGTTGGAGATGTATAAAAAATTCAACTTTTTATGGCATATTATCTTCTAACTTCATTACTAATACAATTTGACAATAATTAATTTTATTGAATAAATACATTCATATATAAGAATTATAAGAGAGAATGTTAAAGAGTATCCCACATGGGAAACGTGTGAGGAAAATAATCAGTATATAAGCTCTTGAGTTGAACTAACGAATCGATTGAATTCAATCTTTTAATGTGGTTCAACCCAACTACCCAAGTGTCTTATTGTCAAATTTAGTTGTCCATACCCCATCTTATATTCTATCATGGTATCGGAGCCGGTTTTGGCTCACCTCGTTTGTTAAGGTATCTGTCTAGACGTTCATCTCTAGCGGCCCGTTAGTCTTTAGCCTAGTTGTTCGTATGGAATATGTACCCAACGATCTGTGACTCATTTAACACAATTGCTTGTCTGGAAGTCCATACCCAGCGGGTCGTGGTCCATTTGGTGTTGGCACTCAAAAATAAATAATCAAGGGGATGTGAGTCAATTTGCAAGTGGTCAACTGATTATGTTCAAAATGGCCTGGTCGTCCACTTGAGAGGGAGTGTTAAAGAGTATCCCACATTGGAAAAGTGTGAAGAAAATAGTCGGTATATAAGCTTTTGAGTTGAATTAACTAATCGATTGAATTCATTCTTTTAATGTGGTTCAACGCAAGTGTCTTATTGTCCAATTTAGTTATCCATACTTGATCCTAAATTCTATTAGAAAATTCTAACTTCAGTTGGAGAATAATTCTATCATAAATTCTGGCTTCTCTCTGCAAGCTGATCATCTGTAGCAAAAAGTAGTTTGGAGCACGTGTACTAAATTTGAGTCAGAAGAAGCAATTTTGTGAGTATATTTGCTGGGTTCTTTTTCCTGGGTGAGAGTGTTGGCAATTGGAGCGAGGGCGAGAAGTTTTTTCCATCCTTGTGGGCCGTTCTCTGCTTCCCTATCGCTTTTCATGCGCTCGATCTCTAGAAAAAAACAAACAAATGCAACTTTCTCGTTCTTCAATTGCGCACATGATTTTTTGAAAGTGAGAGATAATGATTTTTTTCTGAAGAGAAAGAGATGTACTCTTAGACACGCTCGTTGAGATCGGTCGGTGATGTCATGCTGTCCAATGGTCGACCGCAGTGACTAGAAACTGGCGATGTGCCCGATAAAACAAGGAAGAACTAGGTTTTTGAGAACTATAACTCCGATACTATAATACAATTTAATACTCACTAATAATTAGTATTATTGAATAATAATTATTGAATGTCAAATAGAGTTTCAATGGCCTCCACAATTTCACTATCAAATCTGGTTACAATGTCTTTATTTGTCTCTAATAATATACACTGCCGTTTCAAAAAGCCGTTAATGTCCATTTGTCAATCTCCAGATGAATAATGTCAAGTTAGATATATTGCCGTTACCCAAGTACGTGCTTGTAGAAAGATGCTGAGATCAGCTTTAACTCCAATTTTCCCAACATTTCCCACCAAAACCCTGCCCGCCGCAAGGAGGATAAGCTCTTCTGCAGTAGCAGCAACCAAACCCCCACAACCTGTTCGACGAAATGCCCCACCCAACTACCTCACCCTCCCCCACCTCCCCCCAACCTCTGCATACGTTCACCTCCCCTTCTGCCGGCGGCGCTGCCACTACTGCGACTTCCCCATCCTGGCCCTCGGCACCACCTCCTCCTCCATCTCCGAGGACCCGCGAATCGCCAACTACGTCGACCTCATCTGCCGAGAAATCACGGCCACCGCTGCCCTGAACCCAAACGCCGACCAGCCGCCTCTGGAAACTGTCTTTTTCGGCGGCGGGACCCCTTCTCTCGTGCCTCCACGGCTGGTCAAGTCGGTCTTGGACGCGTTGACTGTGAGATTCGGTCTGAGACCCGGCGCGGAGGTATCAATGGAGATGGACCCGGGGACGTTCGGGGAGCGGGAGCTGAGGGAGGTGATGGGTTTGGGGGTGAACAGGGTGTCGTTGGGAGTGCAGGCGTTTCAGGAGGAGATGCTCAAGGGTTGTGGGAGAGCTCATGGGCTGAAGGAGGTTGATGAGGCCATTGAGATTATTGTTAGGTCATGTAATGTTGAGAACTGGAGCATTGATCTCATAGCTTCTCTCCCTGGCCAGACACCGGAGATGTGGGAAGAGAGCTTGAGGCGCGCCATTGATGCCCGGCCTACGCACGTTTCCGTGTACGATTTGCAGGTCGAAAAGGAGACCAAATTTGCAAAAATGTGAGGTTCTTAGGACACGCTCTCTTAAAACCAATTGGTGTTAAAAAAAAGCGCATACCTTAGCCTTATAGTGCATTCTGTACACACAAGCGCTCACGAACGTTCGAGTGTTACTTGACTCACATAGCCTTCGTCACAGGGCAATTGATGCACACATGGCCAAGAATCTGTCCCTGAGCAATTGCTCCCGCTGGGAATCGAACTCGTGACCTTGACTCTGATACCACTTGTAAGACCTCAGACGCTAACAACTCTCCTAAAACCAATTAGTGTTAAGAAAAGCACATATCTTAGCCTTATAGTGCATTCGGCACACACAAGCACCCATGACAAGTTTCTTTCACGTTTACGTGCAAGACTCAAGCAAAAACAAATCTTACTTGACGTGTTAGAGTATAAAATCATTCTATAATCTACAACTAGAAGCTTAAGCTTTTGGTTGACTTGTTTCCTGGACAGAATTAAAATCTCTGTTTTGTTTTTGCAGGTATACTCCTGGAGAGCATCCCTTGCCTTCTGAGAAGCAATCTGCTGAGTTTTACAGAATGGCTTCAAAAGCATTATCCGGCACCGGCTTTAACCATTACGAGATCAGCAGCTACTGCAAGACCGGTTACCAGTGCAGGCACAACTCCACCTATTGGGACAACAAATCTTTCTACGGTTTCGGGCTCGGGGCAACCAGTTTTCTCAACGGGCTAAGGTTTCCGAGGCCCAAGAAGTTGAAGGACTACGAAGGGTACGTCCAAAGTCTAGAGAGCGGAACAGTGACCTGTTTCGGGGAGAAGAACAGTGATTTGAATGCTGGGGACATGGCCATGGATGTCGTTATGCTCGCTCTAAGAACTGCCAAAGGGTTGGATTTGAAGCCTTTTGGGGAAGCTTTTGGTAGCTCCTCTGTGATGTCTCTTTTGGATGTTTATAAACCATATGTGGAAACTGGGCATGTACTTTGGTTGGATGAGCAGAGGAGAAATGTTACAATCGGAGACGCGGTTTCCTACATTCGCCTCAGTGATCCTGATGGTTTCTTGTTATCCAATGAGTTGATATCTCTTGCGTTTTGTGCTCTCGGGTAAGTACGTGGGACCATGCTACAATGACACTATAGATGCCACCAAGCTTAACACTTTCAGTGTCTCAGGTAGTGTCAATTTTGGTGTCATCCCTGAAGTTAAATTAGCTTTCTCTATGAAGTATGAAAGAAAGTTTGTTTAATAAATGTTTGTTTCTCATTCTTTGTCTGACTATTGCTTTCTTAGTAAAATGACAATGCCACCAATCTTTATTTTTATGGAAAAAAACTAAAAAAGCGTGTTACGTGTTGCGAATAAACCTCATCTTCTTCATTTAGTTAACTTCTTATGGTAGAATGACAAACTAAAATGTGTATATATCCACTCTTCATGAGCATCAGAAAGAAAGATGTGGATAAAACAAAAATAAAACTGTTGAAAGCATTAGTGAAGCTCTTCAATAGACAGATCAAGTATTCGACTACATTACACGTTATTGCGGTCTACCAAACAATGCCTAAGCCAAATATGCTTAAAGATTGAAAAATATTTCATCAGAGAGCACACAGTAAGAAAAGTAGTCCATACTTTCTAAATTTTGACACCATAAATGGATTTTTTTTGAATGTTACAACACACAAAAGCCCTCTCACTAAATGACACCAAGCAAGAGCTGAAAAGAATTAGCCTATCACAATCTCAACTGTAATACCTCAAACAAAAACATTACTCGGATGCGTGTGTGAATGTTACAACAAAGTCCCTTTAACTTCTTAGTTCTTACAACTACGAAGGCTTTGGTTTTCTTCCGGCTTTGGAGATGCGCTTAAAGTCTTGCATTCCCCTTCTCATTTCTCTGCAAGAATAAACATGTCATTTTTTTAAATTATGTATAGGCACGGCGAGGTTTCGAGGAAGATTTAAATATATTTGGGGCTAGAAAGTGCATCACCTTTGATAAAGGTAAACGAGGAGGTAGAATATAGGGAGAAGCATCAAAGTCAACACTGAAGCTGCTATATAGAATATACTTGTATGCTTCTGTGCACACACAAAAAAACAGTTTGACATCATTTGACATATTGGATTAGTGGCTTTCAAAAAAAAACATATTGGATTAGTGGCTTTCAAAAAAAAAAACATATTGAATTAGTGGATGTTGTAGAAATACAAAGTATAGAGTATGGAAATATATACGAGTAGATGGAGTAAAAGAAACCTAAAACATATAATGAGCCTAAGTGTCCTTCTCCAATGCCTCAAACTTCACAATGCTTTATACGTTTTTTATTATTCTATATACTAGAAAGTTACCAAAATATCCAAACGAAAGAAGGCGAACGTTTATGGATCCTTACTCTGCCTCCTTTAGGAAAAGGTTTTTTCTTGCCGGTGCAAGAATGGGCATCACAGAATTGGCGCAAAAATAACTCTACAAAATGAAAAAGATATAAAGAGTGTCACTAAGCCCCAACAATAAGCAATTTTTTTTAAAATTACATTATCGTCTTTCAAGGAAAGTGTGAAGTACCATGGAGACGAGTTGCTTTTAGACCCTGGTTTATGGGAAAACAACTGTTTGCAAGACTCTGCATAAAAAGGATGCAAGCAGTGTTAACAAAGTGAGGTCAAAAGTCAAAACATGGTCAAAGGGCATATGGACAACCTCACATAAATGGCGATTTCTCGCAGCAGCCGCAGGGTTGCATTTGGTCTTCAGAGGTTTTGATTCATCCACCAGGTCACAATGCAGTGCTCCACACAGATCTGCCAAACACTTGCTATGACTCTGGAACCATAAGGGGATTAAGTTGGAATACATTAATGGGAAACAATACATTTTAGGAATGGAAAAATAAAAAAAAATTGTGTGTGACTGTACTGTAACAGACAGGTAAGAGAGGAAGTTAGTACATACAACATTTAGAAGATTAGAATGTCTGTTATCAAAATGTTGATCCATATATTTTTCAGCCCGGAAAACTTTTTTGCAGTATCCACATTGCCATTCATTTATGTCTACATGAATCTTGTGTTCCTCCTGATCTCTGAAAATGTCGTTACTGGGATGAAGTCTACATGCTGTTGAGAGCTCATAGTTTTCACGTTCCAGAAATGGATGCAAATACTGCACATACCCCAAAGCAGTTCAGTCCTCCATCGTTTAAAGAAATATAAATTTAAAAGTGTCAGTTCTAATTTTTTTTTCTTGCGAGGTTGACTTGAATCTTGAATGTGCTTACCTCTTCTATGACTTTCCACGCAGCTCGACTTCTCTCTCTCGAGCAATGAACTTCATGAACACCTGACTGCTCTTGGTCAAGAGTCCTAATCAAGGACAAAATATACCAATTTTTATGTTACAAATAAGTATTAAATTTGCTTGATAAGATGTATGTCCAAAGATGAAACCTCTCAAGTTTCAACCTTGAATTTGCATGCTTTCTAACTTCCAATTCATTTTGTATCATGAATAATAACTTTCAATCTTGAATTTCAACTTCTAGATCCCAATCCAGATGTAACATGTGACTATATTGAAATTAAATCAAGAAATTAATATAAGCAGAATCTTACCTCGACGAAAATTGATCTACACCCTGCACAAAAGAAAATAAAAGCCTGAGAACAACAAGAACTGGACAGAAATAATACTCTTAAAAAAGGCACAACTTCATAAACCGATTTTTTTTCTTTCTTCAATCTTTATAAAATAACTTCACTGAAAATAAAATAAAAAAAGGCGCTTTTTTTAACTGAATTAAAAAAATGGGTCTCTTCAAAATGGAACCAAAATCAAGAATTCAAGTGAATAAGCCCTCTGTATGTGATGATAATCTCAGTACCCAGAACAGAAAATTAAAGAGAAATAATAAAAATTTTCATTTAAGAGCATGTTAAATCAATTTTTTTACAGGCACAAAAATCTACTCATACATGTTGTGATCTGGATAGAAAAAAAAACTCACTGAAATAAAGGGGCTTTCTTGAATGCGATTAAAGAAACGAATTGAGGGGCGGAACCTGATCTAGCTGAGGAAGAACCGGTGAAGAAAAGCAAGCGAATAGAAGATGGAGAAGAAGAAGACGACGAAATCTATGGGGGAACAATTTCACTACTTTTCCCAGACTGGTTCGCATATTGGGCGTCTCTCTTCTTGAAGAATCGCTTCAAATTTTATGCCTTTCTCTCTCGGCTTTCCTCTGTGGAGATATTTTCTTTCTACTTCCATACTTGTGCTGTATTTGACTTAAGTATGCAATTAATATTTTGAGCGTGGAAAGTCACATATTTGAACCCTAATTAGACATTAATTAACAAAATTAAGAAAGCTTACACTATATTTTAATAGAACTATAGTTTTAAAAAAACATAATTAGTTGAAAATTGAAACGAACCAAACGGTTTGACCGGTCATATTACAAATTAGATATGTTATTGTTTAGCGCAATACAATGAATAAATACGGTTTTATGAAAATCTATTCAGACTGGATGAGTCTTGGTGACATTGTGGATTTGCAAGTTTTGCTTTTTGTTGCGAACTACTCCATAATAACTTTCTTTTTTTTGAGTTTTATATTTTTTTGGGACTCCATATTAATCTTATTTTATAAACCTTCAAGATAGTTAAAAAAGAGCATTATTTATTTTCAACTAAATATATGTCCAAATGTTATACGGTACGAAGTATATACCACGGAGTACGTAGTACTTTGTAACACATTAGCTAGTAGCCACAATGATAAGTCATTATCGATACATTATCCGAATCATTGACACAGTTCAATTGACTCGATCGATTAATCATTAACCCTATTACTTCGACAATTTGACGTCTGGCTCGATCTCATGACTTCTCATTGTATTTCAATACTCTGTATAAAAGTTGAAGAGTGGAATATAGATACAACAGAGTATCAATTTTAGTTAAGATTTAGAAGTTTGTCTTTATACTTGAGTTTGAAATAAGAAACTCACAATTAGGTCTGTCAATAGGTCAGGTATAGACCCAAACCCATATAATACCCGTAATTTTTTAGTGAGTTTAGGTATATAAAAAAACTATTTACCCGTATCCGAACCCGTACCCGTTATTTTTTAAAAAATAAAGGGTCGGGTATAGGACGAGCAGTCCCGACCCGTTTAAAACTCGTACGGGTTAAATAAATACTACGTAGATAATGTTAAATATTACAAAAACTCTACCACTCTTCTTCACTATTCATCTTCCTGCTGGTTGCGTGACTTCCAAATCTATTTGTATTTATTTTATCAAATTAGAAGAATGAACACGTTGGTTTATGCCATGTAGGAATATAAAATAAACAGTTTGGAATTAGCTATAATGTTATAAAGAAGATTCTTGCAACATGAATGAATGTGACAAGAAGACCGATTATGAATCCAAATTTTTGTTTTATATTTTTGGTAAAGAAGGCCAATTTTTGTTGCAATAACGTATTATTCTTATTTTTATTTGTATTCAATTAAAGTGTTTTTCATTCATAATATTTTCACTTATTATTTTTTAATTAATGAAAAATAACAGACGTCAACTTTTATCATGGATATACCTGACCCAATACCGAGACCCAATGGATCCAAATATAGGAGTAAACTTCAAGACCCGTCAGGTAAACGGGTATGGGTCAAGATTAAATTTTTTAAAACAGGTACCGGTATAGAACGCTATGGACCAGCCCGAACCCGATCCATTGACAGGCCTACTCACAATCTAGAATGTGTAAAATGATATTTAAAGAATAATATTTTGCACGTTGTTCAAGATACAATTGATTAGACATGAGTATATTTTTGTTCAAGATTCAAAAAATATTCTCCGTAATTTGTGTAATATCCGCCGAGTTCTTCACTAAATAACATGAGCAAAAGATATATAATGGTGTGTAAAAATAATCGGTTATTACATTAAAATGGGAATACTTGAACAAAAAATGTTACGGAGTAGTATAATACCAAATTTAATAACATTAGGTAAGACAATCATCTATCAATTTGTAGACACATACAATAAAATCGTTAACACCACGGATGACAATCAAATGTAAATTTGAACACACAGAAGATAGAACGCCTCGGTACGGATAAGGTTGTACACTTGTACGCGTACTCTCTCCAAACCCCACTCTGGGAATTCAACAATCTCTCCATTTATGTACAACTAAAGATATCATATTGCAGTCCATGAAAGTTAAA